AACGCTATAATTTATGGCATCTAATGACGCCTTAAAATTAATAATAACAATGATCGTTCAGTAGGATTTAATTATTAACGCTACACCGAGAAGAAAATTAATCCGCGATCGTTAGAGATTTTTACGACTTTAACATTCTGCTAGCCCGATTGTTTTTTTCTCCACTCTCCTTACCGCGAAAATAATAAACCAATGGTCCGTAGAAAATCGGCCAGCGTTATAAATTCCAGTACTGTTTGTTCAGTAAAATGTCATACGTTATGCTTCGTATAACGAATGGCGATAGTTTCATAGAGAAATATCATGGGTTTAACGACATAGATTCCAGAAATTCAAAGCACTTGACAAATATTTCAGCGGCATTGCGCGAATCCGCGGAAGCTTACGCGAGACGTAATACGAACTCCCACGACATTCCTAAATGAGAAATCTGACCTACTGTACAAAACGGTCAACACACACGCGACATTTTCCGTAACAGAGAAACGCGTCACGTTTCAATCGACAATTGACCTTTAAAAAAGACGATGATAAACTAGATAGTATTTCGCAATGCCGCAACGTTTAATACATGTGCGAGAGAGAATCATCTCTTTACATATCTTTTTTTATATCAATATTAATTTTAATCTTTCTGAAAAAGATATGCCGAATTATAGAAGGCATATGTACCGGTCATTATTGTGCACGCAGCCTTGTGCGTACTGTGCACAGTTTGCTGAATTCAATATTTCGTAATAAAATGTATCACGTAATAAGCAGCAACGGTATTATCGATTCAATAGCGCCGCCTTAATTAAATGTCGCAAACATCATTGCGCAATCGTACGTAGGTCGTTCTTGGTGCTATTATCGCAAATTCCGATGCGGCACGAGTTCAAAGTTCCGCGACGTCGGTGACAACGGAGATTCCCCGGCATTAATTCCCGCTCTGTCTTTGTCATCTCGTACCAATATTCCCGAATCGCTAATCATCGAACTTGTCACGCGGTTCCGTTGCCGGCAACGGATTAGCCGTGGTTATTCGCTCGGAATGGGGTGGAACGAAGAGAGCCGCCCGACAGAAAAGACCAAGTCGAGGGAGGGAGGGGCGGGGAGGGGGAGGACGGGTTGTCATAAATTTAAGCAACAATTAACATTCGGAGTTAAGGCCTGTGGGAACGGGCCATTAGCCACACGTATCTGTATCGCCGTGAGCGAGCGGAGAGAAGCGCCGTCCGACACGAGGAGTCCGCTCAGGCCGTCGCGAAAAGGATTCACGCGCCGCGTGAGCGCGCCGCGCCGATGCGAATAGGATAGGGGACGAGGAAAAATGAAAAGGAGCGCGATGCATCGCGCCGGGGTCGCAGGTTAAACTGTTCTCTCAACGGCATGCCTGATTTATTAATCACCCGGTGCCGCAGGCTACCTACGTTATTATCCTCTCTCGCCTGCCACTTCGTTTCTCTTTCCTCGAATGGGAGCTGTCCGCTGATCTTTAGTTCGCCGCTCCTGTCACCGAGATCGGTTATTACGTCCACTAATGTATTACGTATTGCATTCCACGAGAATTACCCGTCGCCGACTGATGTGTAATTGGTGGTCGATTCGGATAAGCTAACTTTACAAATATCATAATTTTAGAGTTAAAAGAAACAAAATATCAACGCGACGTCCCGATAGTGTTGATAAATTATAGATCGCATTCAAACAAATTGAGTGTCTCAGTTCTGTACCCATATAGCAATCACGCGTATCTAGAGAGATAATGTGTCTTTGTAGCGACATGCCTAACTGGGCCTAATGGGATTTGACCACATGCCATACGCCGACTAGATGCTATAGAATACACTTGAAAAGGGCCAAAACTCATGGTCGAAACGTTGTGTTACATTAATGGAAACTCTCCTGTAGCCAGTTGTGTCGGATTATTCAATCTAATTGTTAATCACTGGCGATTTAATATTCTAAAATTTGTTTAAATTGAGTGGTCTCCAGTGGATTCTTACATGATCACGTTCAGTAGACACCTCCGCATTTCGACGACGAAAAACGAATCCGTCATCCGCTTCAGTCGCCCGCCTCCAAATATACGCGTATCGATTATCGGATCGAAGCTGGCGCGACGAATTCCGTATATATTGATGATGCGAGATATTAAATTCGGAAACGGAACCGACAGTGTTGGCTGGGGTGGTAGAAGGGTCTCCTTCGTCGACAGAGAGCTCCCTAATAGAGACGTCGATAACAGTTCCGGCCGTTAATGCGGCGTTCTACGCGTGTGCGACCGTATCTCGTTGCCATCGGCCGCTACTCTTTTCGCGCCGAGGAATTCATTTCAATTACGAGCTCGGCTGCCGGCTGCTGCTCGTCTCGACAGATCTGATATCGATACGCGTATCAGCGGCGCGAAATCTGCGACGCGTCCCTTTCAGGGAACCCGTGCTATCTTCTTATTTTTTATTTCTTGGGGCTATTCTAAAAGTTAGACTTCGCCTTTTTATATCGTTTGCGAAAGTGAGATACAAAATTGCCGAAACAATCGACACTTCTGACCCGCTCGAACGCAAAACCGCGAATATCAAGATTAATTTCGAAGTAATCCTTGTTCGAATCGTAACTTTCGAACGCCAAGCGGAAATCGATTGGATACGAGTTATGGCGCCCTACGACGACGCACGTTAAGGGATTAATCTGTTGAGCGTGACGTGACGGACATCAATTTATGGTGTTCGCCGCAATATTTGGTTTGGCGGATTTGCGATGCAACATCGGTCGCGTACATAGATGCAAATATATTGCGTGATACCAAGTAAAAGACCGTTTACATTGGAAGTAAGCAGTAAGAAGTAAGAAAACCGTAACCTTTACTTATCAGTGTAAATTTTTTAAAATATTTATAGGACTGGTCGAACTGCGCTCTAATTCGCCGAGAGTAAGCGTCAGAGCTCAAGTAGGAATACGAAATGGAAATAATTCGTTTCTTTATTCCTATAACTCTTACTTCTTACGCCAGGCTTACTTCATCTATTGTAGACGATCCTCAAGAGAACATTATCACTATCACATAATTTGCCCAAAATTCTTCACTCTTAAAACCACACTAAAAATTTATCATGGTAAATCAAGTCCGCGAAAATTATGCTGTCGGTCTCTCACGAACGTACGTATCTATTCTGAATACCGTAGAAATTGTAACCGCGTAAAGGTGCCTTGCACAAACGCGAGGAGCTTTCTTCGTAGCCCTTTTAAGGCTACACCTACGGACCGCAGAGAAGACAAGATGTTCTCCATGCTCTTTCTCTTTTTCCCTCTCCCTCCACACACCGACACCACCACCGGCAATGCATCACGTTCTTTGTGTAATGCTACACCGTACGCGTTTATCCGAGCCTACCCGCACGATAAACATCGCACCGTTATCGATATCTGTCCATATCGATCAAAGGGCTCGGGGATAATAAGGCCGTCCAACAATGTCGTGGGAGGCGGATATCGGGACCATCGAGACAATGTCGCCTCTCCCGATCACAATTGCGACTATCGCTTTCTCGTATTTACGGCACGCGAGACACGCACCTCCGATCGTCCTCACTAAGGTAGACGAATATTTATTGCCGAGGTTTATGAATAGAAGTTCGTTTGCGCAGGTATAGCGCTAGGCCCCATGTTCTCGCCGGATAACGGTATCTCAAATTGAAAACAATAACTGTCCCACAATTATCGTATTGTGTACTACTGTTATTGAAGTTATCGCAGCCTCTTTGCCGTTAAATATTAATAATGCATTAATTGGTAATAGCATATTAAATGGTTACATTTTCTTGCTGGTTAACAGCGTTTTCCATGTGTTCCACGAAAAAAAGGGATATATGGTCAATAGACTTTTCCAAGATTCAACACGTAAAACTATTATATCTTCTCGTCCATTTTGTCTCAAATGTGATAGCAATAGGTTTTCAAGCGGTTGAAGGCGAGCGAGGCGCAAGTCAGGTACTCACCAGACGGAAAATCCTCTTCAGAATCGCGGACGTCGTGAAGATATTCCGTCTGCCACTGATTAAGTTCACCGGATTCCTAGAGGATTTAATTTCCGCGAACGACGCACTTCGTGCGTGCGAGCTTCGTGTCGGTACCACGTACGTGTCCTACGTGTGTCCGAATGTCGGCAGTGCTTCGTAAGCGGCGAAACCCGAGCGCGATGGCCCGTACGGGAAAACGAAACGTCTTTTGTATGCACGACGAAATGTATCAGCGGTATCTGTTCCGCCCATCACCGCGGGCTCGCAGAGGTCCCCATATGGCGCGCCGACTCGCCGACGGCGGACTGTTTGCGCTGTTAATAACGCGCGTTAATCGCTAATTACACAGCGTCTTAATTATCGGCTCGTTGTCCGGGACGGGCGTATAAATAGTCGCCGCGGGAAGCCGGTGGGCGCATTGACGCACGACGGTTCCGTCTATCGACACCGAGACTCCGCGCGTGACCGCGACACTGCCATTGTCAGACCGTTATCGGCGAATATTTTATTAATCACGTCCAAATTTCATAGTTCACGACCAGTCTTGCTAAGAAATCTATTAGCATCTTAATTGCACATTACATAATCGATGTGCGTACTTCGCTCCCTCGGTGCATCTCCTTATCAAACACGTGAACATTGCTTCCCTAATGTAATATGCGACGTTTATGACTTTTACGAGCGTCCGATTAGGAACCGATATTCTAGTAATGACGTTTGGTTCACACAGATTAGGGAAAGATGGTCAAATTCGTATCAGATACCAAATGCGGATAAAAAATTGGACGAGTCGCTCATAAGCAACATTTTAAAGTAATTCATTTAAATTGTGCTCTTTTATATATTTACAACTTTATGCTACATTGTCGATATCGTAAAATCGACGTGTCTTTATGTCGCTTATTAGCGACTCATCAAATTGTTGATCCGCATTTGGTATCCGATCCGAATTTCCTCACCTTATCCTACACGCTACGTAAAATTGAGTAGAAAAATTAAGTAAATCCTCCTTTATTTCAATGTTGCATCGAGCAGAAAAATATACGTTACATTTGTAGATAGGTACGCTTTTTAAAACAATACCTTAAATTATACCAAACTACCACATGACGTCCTCGAATGGAATTGTTATAAAAATAATCATATTTGTATAAGTTTCATATATCTTCGACGTTCCCCGAGGATATCTATCACCTCTAGTATCGATGCCTCTGTAATAACCACTTTTGTAAAATCGACACTTAAACAAGCAAAATGTCCATGTCTATTCACAAATAGTCATCCCCGGTCAGAACAATTGCGAGCCGTTGAAGCTGGGATTGTAAACACGGCTACAGATTGGATAGACGAATGCGGCGCCAACGCGCGCGTAACGCTGACGCAACATGTAAAGGGGGAACAAACGAGATAGATATGTCTCTCGCGCAAAACCCAACAGCGTATCATCTCGAATTTATCGAAAGCATAGACAGATTCTTTTTATTCAAATGGAATTAGAATCGAAATACACGGCTGTAGATGTATATCACGTATGAGCAATTTTAAATGATAGGATACTCAAAGTTAGGGCAAACTAACTAGGACAAGCTAAGTGGGGGGCTTTGCCGTGAGCAACAAAGCAAATTATCCTGAAACAAAATTGTAAAAAGAGTAACTTACGCGTCTCACTTGTCTCAAACTGATATTATGCACTTGCCGTATGTCGCGTAAATCGCCATTAATAAATATCATGAAATAACAACTCGAGCTAAAACGGGAACCGAGAGGAATTCAGGCGACGCTGGAAGGCCGAAACTCAGGAAGGCGAGGAGCCCGTGGACCGGCTCCGGGTGAGCCGATGTGAAGACGAAAATAAAAACCAAAATAAACGAAATCGAAATGAGGAGAACGTGGAAGAGGGCTAAGGGAAGGAGGGAGCGGGCTCGCAAAATCGCCGTGGCCGAGGGCCCCGAGGTGGACGACGCGCAGGGCAATAAATATCGTGCGATTAGATCTCCGATGCCGCCGCTGTTGGGGTTGGTTACGAACGGAGGGAGCAACTATTAATCACTCCATGTTAATCAAGCGGGCTGCTAAGTAGGCCGCGCCGCGGCATTAAAGTGCACTGCCACGCATCGCGTATTGGCGTGCCAATGAGAGAGACGTGCATACGTACGCGTAGTATACAGGCCGGAGGCTGGAGGAGAGGATATACGGAATAGAGGATCTATGGGAATAGAAAAGACACACGGAGAAAAAGGGAGAGAGAGAGAGAGGCTAGATCGCTCGAACCACGTGTGTGGCTAGCCTTCTATTCGACTCCGAAGTCCCTACCCTAAAAGATCTATACCTACCGCAGAGCACGCGCGCGTTTCCTTCTCATTTTTGAGGAATTAATCGGGACTAATTGCCACGTCGGGCGAAAGGGAGCTCGCTGCCGATCCCTTCGCCAGTGAATTATAGCATTCGCAAAAAATAGGTGAATTAAAAGGGATTCGCAGGAACTCATTCTGCGAAATTATGAACCTTGCTCTCTAAAAATGGAAAGTTGATTTCGACACTTTTCCCTGCTCCTTTTTATTTACTCCATTTCGATAACTAAGAAATAAAAGGTATACCTCATTTTCACGAAAATTCACGCTAAGATATTATTTCTCCTACACATATATAGAATTTGGATATATTTACTGAAGTGATCTTCTTGCTAACAATCGATAAAGAAATGACAAAAAACGTGATTTCTTTTAACGAAAAGTTAAGAATTAATTTTGCAGAAATTTTCCATTATTTCTTCCGTTTAATTCATCTACTTTTTCCTAATAATTGTTTCATTCTGCAACTTATTATTGATGCGCATACGAAATCAGATACGAGTCACATAAGCATACGAATGATCTGATTTGCGAGCTGTGTTTCTGATAGATCGCACCTCAAAGACATGTAGAACGACTGATCGAAAGAGGAAACTGGACGTGAGGAAGAAGAAACAGCGAGATGACGCGAGGTCTTTATGGACTTGTTTGTCCCTCTGCGGGTTTTTACGAATTATTTGAAAAGTTCCGTCGAGACGCACCCGAAAAGATCGTTTCGGACAATCACGCAGTAGTTAGATCATGCAATCTTCTCGTTCGCAGTAACCCTACATCGATTACGATCGTAATAATAGAAATTTCTGTCAATACCTCTGAAAAAGTTATCGTTTCAACTTAGCACTTATTAAATATTATCCACTTACATCACGATCGATTATACTGCGTTACTCTTGCGTGAATATCGTTTTGCTCAAAAAGTGACAAACCGATGGTAGAGTCGCATTGTGCACTCACAAGACTCAAGATAATAGCATATCGTTAGCCTGATTACAAAAATGTCACGTACTTTTCGAGAATAATTACGACTCTTACGATAATAGCAATAGTTCCTTTTAAATGCTGATTCGGACAAATTTGCTCCACGCGACGTGTTGTTCCCCACAAGCCCCTCGATTTTCATCCAATTCGTTTTATCCAATTCTTGATTGTCACGCATATCTTTTCTTCCGTTCCAAATAGAATTTATACAAACACCGATCAGTTTCCCGGTTAAACCACCGTTTCTGCTATCCCCCTCCGATCTGATCGACCAGGGTCCGGCGTGGTCCGAAACAAGGCGGGTAGTCGCGCGTGCAGCGGTAATGCACGAGGGCGAGGTGGACGACGTTGTACAAAAGTAAATAAAGTCTCTCAAAAGACTGAGAAAATATGTCGATAAATCTAATGTCTAACTGAGAGATAGGTACGGAGGCCGGGGAAACAGTTGTCTCGAGCGCACGGACGCGCCCAGCGATCGCGGTGGACGATTGTTTCCCATGGCGCCAGTAGCCCGCACCAGAAGTTACTTTCGGATTGTCTCCCGTGAGCCGGGAGCGTGGCGAGAAGGGCGACGATCTTTCCACCTCTGAGAAAGTTTTCGAATTCCTTGTATCCACGACGACCTCTTTTCTCGTCGTCGTCGTCGTCGTACGTCGTCATCGTTCCCCTCTCTCCCTTCCCCCCATCTTTCCTCTTCTCTATTTCCCGACATTGAGGTCCGAGGTGTGCCTGCGTTACGTCTACGAGCGTAACTTGGAACATGATATTGATTTGACTACGATGAAAGCAAACGATTCACGCGCTGTATCTGTTTTATTATTCTCCGTGCAAGCGAATAGTTGAAAAGAAAAAGTAAGTAACTTTTATGATATCATGTCATTGTAGCAACTTGTTTTAATCGGAATCGTTGTGCGCTTTAGTACGGAATTTACATTATTAAATTTCTTATCTTTGCACCGTGTATTAGAAGTGAAATCTGTAATTTCTATTCATTGTTTCACGGCCATAATATTCAAATATACCAAATATATCTGATTTATTCTTCAGTTGTAGTTAGAATTGTTAATAATCTACGAACTACATGTCTCAGAGCTCGCGTTAGTCAGTTATAGCATATCTCGCTCAATTGCTGTCGATTTTAATATTTGCCGAAACTTGCTACTCGTCGTTAGAAGCAGAGCAATGCGTATCTACCAGACAGAAGGGAAGCAGCACACAAAACGTACGCACGTACGCACTTAATTTATGCCCTTCCTATCACCAAGTCTCACTTTTAAGGCCGCCGGGTAAAGCCCCCCCGAGGCTCAAGGCGTTACTCGCGTGTGACGCGTGCAATTTCTCGTGGAATTATTCCATGTACGCCAACGGCAGTTCGTGATATATGGTCGGGCGCGCGAGAGACGTGTCCCTCCTACACGCGTGACCCCTTTGACTCCGGTCCGAATATTGAATCACTTTAATATCTCGGAACGAGATACACGAGATGCACGAGCAGCCATGGCCCGCTCCCATCTTCCAGGCGTGCGTTCAATTACGTTCGCGCCACGCGCGTACCTGTCTACGTAATCTTATAGCAACGACAACGTCGAACTACCAAGCTACTTTACCACCGAGCATCCTCGTAAAACATTCATCGGTCTCTGTGTTAGTAGGAAGTAATTCTCCCCCCGAAAACAGATTTATAGCAATCGGAAAAGAATGGATTGTCTCAAATGTACAGAGGATGCGATAATAAGCTACATCGAAGGAAAAATATCAAACCCTCACGTGACTTAGTATGAAATAAAAATGATACTGTCGTATAAAAAAAGTAAAATTAAATATAATACCTGACACGTTTCCAAATTGGTAGAAATGTCGTACTGCTGTTAACCTGCAATGCAATAATTAACAATTGGAGTTAACTAGCATTAACCGATATTGCTAGAAGCATTTCTCAGAATTGTACTTCCGTCTAGCCCATTTCAGATGACTGCGATTTCTCGAATGTGAATGAATAAAAAAAAACTTTCAATTTTATTTTTTATAATTTATATCTCTTACACCTAAATGCACACATTTAAAAATTGTACACAGAGTTGTCTGTCCGCCCGATTTCCACCTGTTTTGATTTTTAGACAATCACTAATCAGTTTGAATACAATATTTGTCAGTGATTTTAAGTGTGTGCAATTCGTACAATACTAAACGGGAATAGTAAACGCTCAAACTAAAATTTCGTAATAACATCAAGTTATAAGAAACCAAATAATGGCGTACTCACATATTTAATCTATAAATGAAAATATCTGCATAAGAATCGGATGCAGTTCTGTCTTTATATATAACATTTCGTTTTTCCCCGTTAAACAAACATAAACAATTTCTTACATAAATATTATAGTTTCTTATATTTTCGCAATTTCACGGTACCATGTCTAGGAATAATCTTAATAAAATCCTATTGTTATTTAATTAACGTAATTAGCTCTTAGCTGGCACCGTGGGGTATTAAACACCCCAGCCTAGTTCAACTCAAATTTAAGCCTCCTTACAGTACGCAAATTGTACTTGTGGTGCCACGTCTTGTTCCCAGTGTGCCAGCTGAGTTAATAATTTTTTAATTATTAAAATAAAATTATGTGTACATAGTCATAACCCAATGTGTACACAGACATAAACCCAAAAAAAAAATAGACGGATTTTTGGTGTCGTGAAATTTTCGATAAAATCGGTTATTAGGATTGTCTTCAATATATTATAAAATATAAAATTAATGTTTGTGAGAGAGACAGAGGTATGTGCTATTGATATCGATGTAGTAACAGTTCACACGTCATATAATCCAGTCCATTTGCATTTGGGTGTCCAAAAATCATCGTGTAAACTGTTAAGTATCTGTATACACAAAACAGCGACTTGGCGCACGAGATATCTTAGACACTGTGAACCTCTGCTTCAACTGCGACATGTCGAACGGAAAATCTTGCGTCTAAGTACATCGCATCCCTAGCGAGTACATGGTCATTTGACTTGATTAAAGCGTCCTTTCGTTTGTCGTCGCGGTTGCGCGACACTCGTGGTCGTAAGTAGATTCTCCTCGAACGTGTCGATGGTAAAGTCCTGTTCCTTACGCGCTTTGGGCACGATTCTGTTGGCCGGCCCGTTCCGCCTCATACGAATGTTGACGGCGTGCTGTGCGATTCCATTTCTAACCTGCCGTTTCTTTTGCACTTGGAACTGCTTGGTTGATCTGGAAGGCGGAGGTGGTGGTGGTGGTGGTGGTGGTGGTAGCATTTTCCGCGGCGGTAACCGTGCGGTTGGGCCGGTCGGTAATCTCGGTGGACCTGCCATCCTTGGCGGGCCTGGCGGACGCGGCGGAAAACCGGGATGCTGGAAACATCCCGGCCCGGGTGTCGGCGGCATCGCCTGGCGTATCGGCGGTAGCCCATACCTAAACGGCCTGGGCCCATAGGGCGGCGGACTCATCGGCGGAATAGGCGGCATACCGGGCGGTGGCATCGGAACGAATCCCGGCGGCGGACCCGCGAATCTCTGAGGTGCGAACGGCCCACCGTTCGCAAAACCACGTCGCGACATTGCGAATCCTGGCGGCCCCATCGGCCGGCCTAACAGTGTCTTCACCGACGAGCGCATCTTCAACGAAGTCTTTCTAGTTGGGGCGATGACGGCAGAAACGTCCGGCGTCAAAACGACTTGGCTCGTGTCGATCTTCTTACCGCGTTGGACCTGCTGCAACGCGGCGAGATAAATGTCGCGTTCGACGGGATATCCGCGTGCTTCTCCGAAAGCTGAATATAGACAGAGGAGGATCTCAGTTGTCATTGTTCATTAGCTTATCCCCCAGGCCATTTCGCACAGCGTAATAAATTGGCTATGTTTTGCGTGGCGTGCAAACAAAAGAACGATGGCGTGTGACCACGGCCTGCTATGTATACTATTTCGACAAGCGTGTATAAATCAATTTCTGCTCAGAATACGCAAATAATTTGTTCTTCCGTTGATAATAATTCCAAACATTTAGTAAGGATTAGTTATAGAGAAAATGATAGATAAAATTGTAATTCTCTTATTTAGTGTAAGTTTAATAAAAGTAAAATACTCAAGAAAGTGACCGTACTGTGACATAACGAAAGCGTAAGCAAACCTAAAACCTAAAACAACGTACCTTTCAAGGAATCTTCGGTTTCCCAACCTAGCTGTTGAATGAGATATCTATAACAAAGTAACCGCCGTGATTGTTCCAACTAGATCTTCTATTAAACCAGATATCCGAATATTCCATAAATAAACGACAGATATAAGCTACATCTTGGCACGCTATTAGTTACACGAGGCTAAACGAGATATTCGAATAAATAAAGCGAGTATCTGGCGAGTGTTAAAAACATCGGAAAATTCAATAAGGCGATAAGAGCACTCATTTTTAAACTGATTACGAGCGACATGAGATGACGTAATACTGACCTACAAATTAAATAACCAGTACGGTTGACACCGTGTGTGCAATGGACTCCTATAAGTTCACCTGTAACAAAAAATTTACACACCTCACGATACACAATTTAGCGACGCAAGTAGGAACATCAATACGCACGCGGACAATACTCAATGTATTTCGTAATTAAGGTTTACTCTGTCACAGAAAAAGAATGAAACTTAGAAATAGAAATCTCTTTAGGTTGCCAGTAAGAAATAACGATAAGTAGATTTTAGTCGACCTTAACTGGCACGTGTTTAATAAAAGAACATACAAAGCGACCTGTTTCGACCTGAGGGTTTAGGTCCTTTTCAAGCAAGTTCTTAGTAAATAATCCAGCAACTGTAATGTGAAGTCGAAATTATAAAAGTCCGAAGGAAGGGAGTACTAATTATAAAATTTTTCGGCACAAAATTAACGTATGTACGCAGCCTACAGAGGCTAAAACATAACTGATGAAAAACTTAGAAATTTTGAAAAATGTCCGTGCCTCGCACGCTTCCCGCGTCTCCTTTCGCGAGGGAGTTCCGTAAGTAAAACGTAACCAATAGAGTAATTATACGGCGACACAGACGTGTGTGCGTGAGAGTCCGGTCGGCGGGACACGCGATCGGTATCTCGAAAGCACTTTGGTGAACGTCGGACGGTACCGAGGACGCGCAGGAACCGAAGAAATATTCGCTTGCGAAAAGGGCGCACCGCTACGCGCGGCAAGACGTACGATTCCACGGGTCATCAATTCGGCCCGGGGCGTGGGGTCGGCACCTCTTCGGGCCCAGCAAGGGGCTGATTATAATATTATCGCAAATTACCGGCAAAACCTGCGACGAATTCACGACGATTCGTGACTCCGGCCACAGCCGGCCGATCGCGGCTGCGGCTGCGGCGGCATTTTCGCAAGAGCCGCAAAACCTTAATGAGAGTAGTTGACCAGTATAACGATCGAAGCGCGTCTACCGCCTATCTCTCCTCTTCTTGGATTCCGCACGACCGACCTTCTCCCTTGCCACGGTGTCTTCTTGTTTTCAGCGAAGCGCAAACGAGCGGAGGATAAGTACCAAGTACTTTAGAGGCACTTCGTACCTCTTTACCACGGCTTTCAGGGCGAATTAAGTGCCCCATCGCGAGTCATGCGATACACCATTTGACCTCTGTGAGCCGCGCGTGGTCGAACCCAGAATATATCGATATCTCGGACGATACAGCGCGCGTAATGCCCTCCTCTTTTGATAAACGCGATACTGTGCCGTTCGCGCGAAGGGCAATAATGCAAATATATGTAGACGCATGGTGAGGCGATAAGATTTTCCGTGAAAAAATTAGAAGGCGAAACGGTCTAATAAAACTGCTGACCGGGGCTATTTTCGATCTAGCGACCTTCGACATAGCGTCCCGTGGAAAAGTATTGAAATAAACGCGAATGATCAACAACGTGTTAGCAGTATAAAAGCTATTTCTTCGTAAAAGAGTCCTTGGATTATCGTATATGGGGAAATAACAATGTGAAAAATCGTAGAACGTAAATTCCCGACTTGAATGGAACATAAACCGAAGAACTCGTGAACATTTTAAACACGAGAGGCTCGTAGATATTTCTGTAAATTTATTTCATGAACGAAATTTCAATCTTTCTTGAAAATCGATAGAGGGGAAATTTTATAATAGCGTTTCGTTTAAATGTTTTGTAGAATCTAAAATTTGTATAACCGTAGTACATAACGAAAGAGAAAAGGTTTTCTCTCGACTTCTTCATATTTGTGAAACAATCATCGCACTAGCGTTCGCTAGTTTGAGGAAATCGGAGAATAATATACATATTACTACGTGATAACAATTGAAACAACAAATCAGAGAAGAATAATAGATCGCAGATATAATTCGATGTTCATGTACACGTACGCGATTCGCAAGGTATGCTCGTTTCACGTCGGTATCTATCACGAGGTCATCTCAATTTTGCATACGCCAGAAACATTCTTAGCGGACGGGAATCTTCCCAGAACACGTCGGCATCTAATGTGAATCTGGAGCCAGCACCCCCGTGGAGCGGTGGTCTTTATGCTAACAAATAAGCCGATCCTCAAGTAGATTATCGAAGACTTACGATTATTTTCGCGGACATTAATATATGTCATCTTTTCTAACTGCCAAAATAAAATCCCACCTTTATAAGCCGAATAAAATAATGTTGCAAAATTCATCAAAATCTCACGACGCAAGTTATCGGCCATTTATTTGTATCTCAATCGTGTTCATTAGTAAATAGTTATTTCTATCTCGCAAAATTAAATCTTAAGGCAAGAATGCTGTCGTTGAAGAAAAGACAGGCGTGCAAAATTTTGCTTACCGAAGATCTTCGGCATAAGAGGAAGTGAAAACGCAAAACTATTTCTAAAATCGATTGAGAACTCAAGAACTCTTCAGGGGGCTAACAGAACTCTAATTTTTGTTTCATAAATTTTGGAAGTGAGGGGCCAACTTCACAGACATAGTGAAATTCACGGATTCGCACTTGAATAATGAGTACGTATGTACACGTTCGTAAATCGGTATAAAATTACAACGGTCGGGGGCTATTACGGAAGTCTTTCCGAGCGCCCTGCTGCTTGGCAGCCGAAATCAAACGCTGCTCGACGGGAGTTGAGGCATGACGATAATAATGTTTGCTGGTTCGAAAATGGGCCTTGTATATTCAGCAATATCATTAATTAGGGATGAGCCCGTGATCAATTCAAAGTATCGACTTCACACTGATGCAATTATTTGCAAACGTACAGTTACTTCAAATTTATACTATAACATAAAAAGATGGTCGAGAAATGTTTTAAATATATTATTCAGGATATTACCAAGGAAGAAAGTTCGCCAGTTATTCGCTTAGAAGATTGTAAAGCTATGTAGTTAACGAGGTCAAGTAACATGTCAGTTTCCAAAAGGATGAAACTTAAATATAATTACCATACGTCGCGAAAGAGAGAGACAGACTTCGAACAGTGCCTCGCTTTATTACAAGTTTCTTTCGCGTGCAAGAAGATTGAGTCCTGCTTACGAAGATAAATTCGAAATTCAGGCGGGCCGCGTAAAAACGCGATGTAAGAACGTTTCGCTAAATAACTCTTGGAGCGAAGCAGAAATTCGTAATGAACTTCGGTCCGTCACGTTTCAAACCGCGCGAAGCGAAGCGCAGCGAAGCGACGGAGGGGGTCGGTTGCGGTACAACCTCGTGCATACTGATGGACGAGGGTGGGCGGTCGCATGCAAATATTGTTTTCGCTCGTGCCCCCGAGATATCGCCGACGAAGGAATAAAAGGCGGGCGGCGCACCCGGAATTGCACATGCCACTCCCCGTACGGCGCAAAGGTTGGTTTTCGGGCTACTGGAGTAGTCGCGAGGTATGACCCGAAGGCGACGTGGTAAATGTGGCGATATGATATACACGCGAGAGGTACGTCAGTTCAAATAGCCTCTGGTGGACGGAAGATCCTTGCTCGTCTCGCGCCGGGTACGCGGCAGAGATCCTAAGGGCGCGAGAGCCCCTGCCTTACGCGTAAGAACCGCCGAAACGAGGAAGGACGTTAACGTCCGGCGCATATAAACATGAAAATACCGCCGGCTTGTTAGAGAGGGTCTTTCCCAGCTGCCGATTACTGCCACCTTAAATCAATCGAACGGACCAGGTATACCGGAGCGTGTCGCCAAGTGCTCGGTGAACGAAGGCTTTTGTGACATGCCTGAACGAAACTGAAAATTAATTCGGGTTCGCACGGAAGGGATATAAATATTCCGCCTGGCGCTTTCGAGGTGCAACAATTTACATTCCGTCGTCAGAAATAATTAGAGTCGAGACAATTCCCTCGATAGAAATTTAGATGTGGAAACTTAAAAGAGGAAAAAAAATCGACACGCGATTACGAGCCGCAAACCTGACTTCTTAATGCATTAGAGATTTAATAATTGATTTAATGAATGACGAAATACACACTTGTGTACGAGAGCATTTCTACGCGATCGACCGACGTCTCGATATTAGGCATCGGGTGGTATTGATAAATGCTAAGTGGTGGCCAATGGATGGGCAACTAAGCGGCTCCCTTTGCCTCGGAATGCGTCTCGACTCGTTCCTCGATGGACCGTTCCACCTCTCAAGTTCGAGCTAGTTGATTCATAAGTTTCCAACGTATACACGAATCCGAGTGCTGTAAATCGTGATAACGTAACCGAGCGCGTTCGTGCAATTTCGACCGCCGAAATCCGAGACGGTTACGTTAGTTTCACGTCTTGCAAACTTCCCGAGGAATCTTGCAAATTCCAAGATTTTCGAAAGTTTCGGATTTTGTGTAAGTTTAAAACAGTCCTCTCTGTTGGATACATTTAAAAATTCCATCGTCCGAAGATCGCTGTCTTGAAAACGTGTACCCCGACGACAATAGGTCCTAGAGATACCCGGAGATTTAAGACACCTCGAAATAAACCGGAGATCAAAACTCGATTCTTATATTGTAGTGTACATGTACACCGCCGAGTCCCGACGCAGTCTCATAGATTTGACTGGCCGTTTGGTATGAGAAAAAATGGAGGTACAGAAACGCGAGAAAGGGAGAGAAGAGAGGAAAAGGAAGAAAGCGACGACGCGGACGAAGAAAAAGAAACGAGAGTAGGGGAAGAAGAAGAAACGCTCAGGGGAACTTCTTCTCTACTGCTTGATAAACGGCGGCAGATAATTAACAACGCCCCGGTATATACTTCGCGCGTGGGCGATCCTTCGCTTCTCGAACTCCGGTCAAATCCGTTTCCAATCGTCGTCGTCGTCGTTGTCTTTGTCGAATTCTCCTACATTCGAAACACAGAAGCCGGATCGTACAATCGCGCGAGTAAAACAACCACCGACTATTCTACATTCATTCTCGCAGCGTACAACACGATCGAGCCGTAATCGAGAGAGTAAATTAGAAAGGGATGCTGCGTCCGTACAGTCGTGATCAGCAGTTTCGTTCAAGCGGGGTTTCCTGCGAGATTTTTCTCGCCAGAAACACGAGTATACGTCAGTGCTCGGCGTTTCTTTCATTTTTTTTCCCCCTTTACGATTGTCGACGCAAAGTTTCTTAAGAGCCGTTTCCTACTGTTGTCGAACCTGATGCATTTTAGTTGGCGCCGATCAGACATGAGTCTTGCAACTTTCATCAAACATCTCAGCGACTACTCGCGATCAATGCAAAGCGTTACATATTTGTCCAAGATTGGTGGTAGATGCAATAAAGTTACTTCGATTTCTGAATCGAAGAACTTTGTTTGAAGTATATTGGAAGTAATGCAAACTCACCTTCGCCGCATGTCGACGTGAAATCATCCATCACTTTAAAGAATCTGCAAGGAAAGAGAGCAAAATTTTTATTTTTGGCAACATTAGCGATTGCAATCTAGTTTGACTTTATCTTCCGAAAAGGTACAATTTACTTTTCGGCAATCAATCTAAACGCATATAAAGTTTCACATGACCGGAGCCAGCTAAAAAATAATTTATTTAGCGAGCATTAACATTTTTACTATCTAATTACTTATGCGAATTACATCTAGTTAGTTATCTCAGCTAAATAATGTAATTAATATCTCAAGTGCGATATTATAAGCATATAATAACTGCGCCGCCTTTAAAAGGGCAGCAGCCTCTTCCGTCCTTCATGCGCTGACCATAATTTTGCGAAGCAGCCAGCGCGACGGCGATCGAATTTCCGCGGAGTCGATGAAAAAAGTAATCGGTTAAATAAATATTCAGGTACCGGTAACCGGTCGAGCAAACCGGCAGTGTAATAGCTATGTAATAGGCATGCAGAACCCGAGCGGCAAACGAAGGAGTATGGTAATGAGACTTAAGAGCCGGAATGCTGTACGTCCTGAGTTACGGACGGGTGCAGCGAGTAAGAGTCCTTTACGCGTCACGCAGAGGCGCTAAGAAGTTAAATCGATTCCGAATTATGTCATGAAAACACGTCGCAACGGGGCTCACGTGTATTCCGACGTGGAGTAATAATAGCTGCAGCGCCGGCGATTTTTCAGCAGGCAACACATTTCCCCTTTTGTCTCCTATAAACTTTACCGTGAACTTACTGGCGGCTTCTTTGTGATCTATGGGATGGAAGGCAGGAGAAATGGAGAAACGAGAAAGAGATTTCTGAAACTTCGCAGATTCGGGGATAGGGTGGCGCTTATATAATAATTTACGGGGGTGCAGTCATGCATCACGGTTCCCCTTCACCGGCGTCGCCGAGGGCGGAGAAGGAAAAGAATTCGGTAACGAATTAAGCCTACTTCGATTGCCCGATAAATTATAAAAGGCCGTTCGCGTGTCTCTCTCTCTCTCTCTCTTAGAGAATTTCTTACAAAATATTCTGTATGCGCTGAACAAAGCGAAATGTTCCAATGAATAATTAATGCCAACGTAAAACTGATTTCTCTCGCGTAAATTTATAATATTTCACGTCAGCATTACAATATTTTGATCTCAACATACAATAACTATAGTATAACATCAAGAATTATTTGACGCCAGCAAATGACTAACAATGATCAAGCTTCTAATCGAAAGAAAATTTATTGCGAAAAATATTACCTCAGCCAGGGTTTGAACCTAGACCTCCTCTAGGCGGGCGTCTATCTAATATTTTTCGCAAAAAATTTTCTGTGTTAAAAACACATCGCCAGTCATAGTCGCTTAGAAGCTCGATCATTGCTAATTATAGTATACTATTATGTGATATAATTGATTTCCATTAGAAAATCAATCTCCCGCCCAAACTTTACATCCCAAGATCAATTAATAATTTGAAATACAGAGATCTCGTGCTGAGATAAGTTGAAGATTTAGTTTCCAAGGAAATGAGAATAGTGGTGACAAGCATGAAATCGTTTGAATCCCCTTCACGGATACCCAGATAGATTCGGTTCCCCGAAAAGTTACTACGCTCGTTATTGTATTGGGGATTAGGTGGCCCAATTGTGGCGGTCTATAGAGGCTTAATAGGACCGTTTTAGTGCCTTTGGTCCCTTTCACCTCCGAAACGGACTCCCTACAGCACCGATTAGGCTAACGCGATTATAAGCACTAGCTCATTCACGGCTTGCCGACTGGCTTCAACCACCGTTCGATATCGGTAGGTTATAAGGTGAGAGATATTTATAAGCCCGCGGGGCTTGTTAACTCATAATGACTCTCGAAATAGGTGCATCTCGCCCGGGATTGTACTCCAATAGAATCGAATCGTAAACATCATCGTTATTCTTAGGGGCGTCAACTACGTCAATGCGTCTCCACAAGTTGAGCAACCTAGTGAAGAATTTATCGTACGTCATAATTAGCGACGCGACAAATTTACGCGACGCTCCGTGGCTCACGGCGTATCGTCTGTGCAAGGTCAGCGCGAGGAGCGAGATAAATCTCCCGTTGTACGTATCGGTAGCGGAATAACGCGCAACGTCAACTGTCATTCGCTCCCACGGTCGCGCATTTATAATACTTGAAATATTCGTGGCGCGTCTTCCTCGTTTCAAGAGCGTGACAGTACAATCACGGAGAGATGCATCTATCACGGGGGAGAGGGAGGAGAATGTGTGGGCACGGCCTTCCACGGGATGAAATATCGAAAGATAGCTGCCGAGGCTCCGCGTGCCGCATCGCGGCGCGGCGCCGCCGAAACGTGAAAAATGACGAGCGTTAAATTAATTTGACTTTCGGATTTGAATTACAGATTCGAGGCGGACGCGGAGAGGTGTCGTTGTACATGGCGCTTCGCACTCTGCCCGGTACAAGAGCTCCCCTCGAAGAACCCAATATCGAGAACCAGCTCCATCATCATCATCATCGGCGTCATCAGCACGATGGCCATTTCCGACGCCCGTCCCCGGCGGAAAATCGAAATCAAAAGCTGACCCGCTCCGCGAGACGAGCGGCCATCAATATTTATAAAACCAGTCATCTATCAGTGGATGAATTCCATCTTAGGAATATTTCATACCGCGTTGGCCGCTATGAATGCATAGATTTCACCGCGTATCGAGTGTTTACCTTTTTATTCAATATAGCCAAGTGTCATTTATCTCACGCGTCCCGAGACTGATCGACCAGGTTACTGGCAAATAGCTAAGGAGCAGCTGGCATAATTTCGCGCGTTTTTAATTTGTCGTCTCGATCGTTTTCGCACCCAAGGAACAAATTTCCGGATTTAATGCTGTTACACTTTAAGGTATCAGAAATAGGGTCGACATAGCGCCAATCATATTTATTATAGCGAAAGAAATATTTTAATCTTAAATAAAAAATTCTAAAATCTAGAATAAAATGATAATACGTGTCGTGTTTTGTCAAATATCGTGGTGCCAAGATGAAGGAAAAATACCCCTGTGAAGTTAGCCCCCCCCCCCATTTAAAAAAATTCATTTTAACGTCTTTAATGGGCAGAACTATTTCTTAAACTCATCAAGAACTCTGGAATTATTGTAAATCTATAGGGAACTCGTAAAAAAATTAAAATTTAAAATAATGGGGGGCTATCTTCACAGGGGTAGGGAAAATTTATTCTAAACGGAAGAATATATAAACTTGCATTTATATAAGTTACTTTTGTCTCAATATAGTAAGTCAATCGTTTTTAATTCGATAGAGGAGAATGATAATTATTGATTTTATTTTGATATTGTCTTATTTTTATACTAAATGAGGTTTTGAGAAATATAGATGCGTCAAGAATATTTTTTGTCTCGGTAACAGAAATCTTTTCTGAGGGTGCGATCTTTAAAAATTAATCTAGGACGTATCATTCTAGTATTCGTGTAATTACATAATATACATATAAAACTGGTATTATCAAAAATTATCTTTAATATTTCAACTATAGTAAATATATTGTCACACAAATTATATCGTTTAATTCAGTTGTATTAGCGACATTGCTATTACAAAAATTTATCTTCACACGTTGGTCTTTTTCCACGATTATTTCTGAAATAGTTTCACTTTAAATAACGTTATACGTGAGATTCGGAGAAGTTATTATTGCGAATACCACACGGTTTTCACAACCAAGGTGTTAATGGAACGCGCTCTCGCAATCTTCTCGGATCTAAGCGATATCGTCGCTAATTGACTATCGAGGACCTATCGAGATGGCTTTACCGATAACTCCAGTTTGTTACGCGTAAACCGTAAGAATCACACGGAGAAGTTCGGTCGGAATAAGGAGGCACGCCTGTGAAACCGCGAAACGACGTTTATGGCAACGCGATTGTCGGTCGTAAGTGGCGTTCATTTGAATATCACACGGTGTGTGGTCCTTCGCACGCGCCCACCGTACTACGTGCTCGCGCCCATTTGCGTGCGTACGTGTAACTTTACCGGGAGATCACACGACCGGTCTATGTTCATCCCGTGAAGACGGCGCGGTTGCGTAATCGCGCGTTATCTAAAAGCTCTATCGTCGCCCGGAAGAACAGCGCGCCGCTATTTAAATCTAATGAATATCAAGTTACGATTTTGCCGTCCGACAAAACGGTGACAAATAAATACATCGCGACACTCGGATTATCAGACGCACAGACACAACGTGTCTGGTTATCCGCGGGACAACGTTAGGCTTTCGAGGTCCGTTAAGTGAATAATTTTTTGTACCAGCGGATTCCAATTGACTAACGTAAACGGCAGTCGAAATGTAAAGGAGAAAACGTAAAAGAGAATTATTGCGTTCGATTGAGACGGAGATTCGTCTGGTCCAACAGTGTTAAATGGCATTATACCTCGAGCGATTCATAAGTCACTTGCGTCAACGTGATCGAAATCTTATTTAAGTGTGCATATATTTAAAAAATTTGCTAATCTTTTTGGCCGAGATTAAGTTTCTTATTTAAGTTCTTTTTTTATGATAATGAATAAAAGGTTTAAATTTGTCTTGTTATTGTATATTTGTGTACATTAATGTCAAAATCCAAGTTTATGTACAATCAAGTCTCCATTTATAAAGACATGCATACAAATTCTGTGCCGTGAAGGATGACGAGAGAAGCAGTCGATAGTTGTTGATCGATCAACGCTATGTAAGCCTATAATTTTGACGTAATCTTCAAAATTTGTAGTGATTTTCCGAACATTATCAAAATTATAAAAAAGATATTTGTTCTGTAAAATCAACAATTATGTGTACTTGCAATTGCGATTCAGATAGCAGGGAAGAATATCACACTCCAATTTCGGATTTTGACATGTATGTAACCTATGTAAAATTTGCTGCATTTAACAAAATGTATAACACCACTATTATTCAACGCACTCTCGTCAATGTATAATAATTTCTAAAATGAGCAACACATTATTTTCACAA